GAAGTACTGGGAGCATAAGCTTTCGTAGGTAAGAACCTCACTTCTTCAGATGCAAGACGAACCTCACTTCTTCAGATGCAAGTCTTGCATCTGAAGAAGTGAGGTTCTTACCTACGAAAGCTTATGCTCCCAGTACTTCTGTTAGTCTCAAAGGTGCCACAGGACCCTCTGTTGCTTTTTACAAACTTCAAACTGCAACACTATTTTGTTCCATTCAACATTTTCTAGAAAACAAACAGGAAACTAATTTCATATAAAATCATGCTACATGTTACCAAATAGTCAAATCAAATTAACTCTGCACTAGAAATGTATTAGTGGAAGAATAGTTTATGGTCCCATGTTTGTGCATCCTATCATAGAGCTCACGCTGTATTTCAAATCCTAATCAACTCCTAAGTCCATTTCTCTTCGACAATTAACCATGCTGCCCTTGCTACCACTATCAGACAAGTACTGTCGTAAAAAAAGTCAATAGCGTACTAGATATATCCAGAAAGCAAGTTATATACCTTATATCGTTCAAGTCAGTAAAATTATTTTGCTGAAGGATGTTCTTTCCAGCTTCCATCATTTTCTCCACTAAGTAGAAAAGAAGTTAAATTGAATGTAAACTCTAAATGTAATGCACTAAATGCCTCTAAATAACGATGAATTTTAAAAAAATGGGTACTTCTCTGTAACAGCCCCAAACTCTTCCAGTCCATAAAAATTGTTTTGTAAAATACTATTTTAAAATCTGTAACAATTTAGTAGCAGGGATAAATTGGAAAACTCATGGGACTGATAATTAAATACAAACCCTTTTCCTTTCTAAGTCACTGATTTGTATCTAGTGCAGATTGTTAGATGTGGCTGTCTGATAATGAAAGTGAAATGCAGAGGTGATGTCCATCCACTTTAGTGGTCAAACTTCCACATCAAAAAACTTCCACCCATATTTTGGCACCATTTTTGGCAGCTTCAGCAAGGCCAAAGATTTATCTTCTCATGCCTAAAACCTCCAGGCCAATGTGGATGCATATTAGTGGGTCAGAATGGTGAAGTTTGCTCTGTTGCCCCCAGTGATATATCTGCTTTATAGACAGCTGCAGGACTTCAATGTCTAGGGCCTAGCATTTTTCTTAAAGTCTGACAGCAGCAAATAGGACAAAGGCCAGCCTACACTAGTACTCCAAGAAGCACTGGTGTTAGTGAAACAGTAAGAGATGTTAAGAAAAAATGCCAGAATAGACAAGGACTAGGACTGTTAATCCAGAATCTTTCAGATTCATTTTTAAAATTCTTGTTTTTTAAAACTTTTTTGAAATTTAACTAGGTTGAATGAGAAACTCGGGACAAAAATAATGTTCATGTTAACAAGAATAAACATTTCATAGTCTCTCTCTTTGATTCTTAACACACAGTTAATCAGAACATTTCTTGCAGACTAAGGCAATCATGGAGAGTGGCCAGGATTTTTTAAACCACAAAAGCTTTGACATTTTATGAATGCTACAAACTGATTAAAAAACAAACAAACCAAAAAAACAACAACAACAAAAAAACACTAATCTGTTCTCACTGAAACTGCACCTAGCTTTAGAAACTGCACTATCTTTCCAACATCATTAATAAGCAATATCCCAATTTAGCCCAGGTAGTAAAGCTAGTAATAAAATACCTTCCACATACTTATTTCTTCTCTCCATTCTCCAAAGGAAAAAAAGGTTTTCTGAAAAGCACTAACAAAGATTCTCAACCAATTTAAACTACATCTGCAATTTCAAACAAGAAGAAATCGCTATATTCTTGGATCTTAGGGCTTGTATACACTGGCAAATTGTTTGACATAGCTACAGTAGAATTATTAACCCAAAACAGAGTATCCACATAGAGGACTTATACCACCATAGCCACAGCAGAATAATTATAACTATTCTGCTATAGCTATGCCAGTCAAATTCCCTCTGTAAACAAGCCGTCATATACTACTAACCAGTAATCCTCTGATACTGAGATGGAGGAAAACCAGTGATCTCTTAATAAAACAAAACAAAACAAATTGACGTTTTCAATTTAAAATCAGCCTTTTCAAATTTAATTTTTAAAGGTTTATTAAAATAAATACACTTTGACAACCTATGTCAAGGCCTTGACCTAAACTTAATATAATCTATTAAAATAATTTAAATAAATATTCAAGCAGTACATATTTGCTGCCAAAGTTTTAAAGAAAACTCAAACCACTGAACTGGTGGAATACACTCGCTAATTGCTAGAAGCAGGGTTTGAAGATGTTCTAAATCAGCTTTTGACAGCATTTGCCTCTTCTGCGGGTGCAGAGAGAATATTTTCTACATTTCATTTTTTTCAATTTGTTCAATTCAAGGACTAGTTCATTCAAAGTTGAGAAACCAATCAGAAGTTGAAAAAAGCAGGAAAGCATGTTTTCTTCTTCCAATCTATGAATAAAACTAGGTGTGAAAGGATGATACTTACTAGTTCTAAAATCCTGAAGGACATGGTGACCAGTGCCAATCAGTTCAACGCACTAACTACAGATACTCTGCCTTTTGTTTAAGAAATCCATTTTAAATGCAAAATTTGTTGTAATAGGCTTTTTTTTTTAAATGCAGCACAGTTAAGGTTTTTTTAGTTAAATAAAACTATTTTAAAATATTGTTTGTGCATTTTTATTGAATTTCATTTTCCTTCCAAATACAGTTTGACAAATCAGAAGTAAAATGTATCATCTAGTAAACAAGAAGTGAATCATTCACTAATTTCTAACATAAAAAAATATAATAATTAAGAATCTGAATAAATGTGTGATGTCATATATTGAATAAATGTATAGATATAGTGTATCCTTCTGGTTAGCATGAAGTACCAAATCATACCAACCTTTCTTTAGGAAAAGAATTCCCAAAAATACACCTGGAAAACTAGATTTAAATCAATCACTTAAAATCAATGCTTTCTGTTTGCTGATTTAAGTCATGATTAAAATCTGATTTAAATCAATCTACCCTGACACTGTTATCCATTCCCATAATAGATCTTTATCCACAAAATAAGCAATGCTTAAAACTACAATGCAATTGACAATATACTGTGGCATGCATCTCTACAGGAATAAACAACGATCCACAACTGTTTTCTTTTCATTCATGCAATAGCCTTAGTTACAGTCTTACCTAGTGGTATGTGCTCTTTCTTTAGAGTCTTGCAGTTTCCCATATGCTCTATTGGCACTACTAGATAATGGTGTGGGGCCCCAGGTCTGATATCTCTAAAACAGACTAGGCCTTCAGACTAATGGAACAACAATAAGATATTAATCTGTTATTAAAATTAACACATTAGAAAACAGTAGATAACATAAAATCACTTTTACTGGACCTGAAGTGGCACTCACACAGTGGAGCATTCTATGGTTATTCAAAACACATTATAGTTCTATAAATTGTAGCATTAGCTTTACAAGTATTTATCTCAGTGATGCATAAGATGTATATTGGAATTAGTCCACAAAAAGCAATAATGCTTGTAAATAGTTACATCATCAGCCACTCCCCATCCAGGCCTCCCCAGTTCTGATGCTCGCCTACTGTAAGGATACTGCTCAGAACAGTGAGAAATTTCGAGTGACTGCCTTTCTGATGAACATTTCACTAATATCTCCATCATATTAGTGGAGGAGGTCTTCCAGCTTTTTAGCTATGCAAACCCCAAACCCACAAAGAACTCTGTACAGGCAGACCCCTGTGTTTATTTAGAGCCCCATGCAGGTTCAGGGCTTAAACTTGTGAATTATTGTATTAGTCCAATACCACCACATTTAATCTACAGCATGATTATGGATAAAACTAAGAACCTGTCATTTACTGACATTTGGAAATTACATTTTCCCTACAGATTAAGTGAAATGATAAAGAATAAATCAGACATATTTTAATTCAAATACACATTTTTAGCTACATCTACTGCTACAAGCCCCCAAACCTCAGAGTTAAGATTGAAAAAAGTTTAGTTCTACCCTCATACTCTACTGTTGGACCCCACCCATCCCACTTTCTGGGCAAGGCAGGGAAGAATGATTTAAGTTAAGGCAGTTTAAATCTTGTTCCAAGCAGCAAGACACTAACAAGCAGCAGATGAAGATAACTAGTCTGTTCTGGGGCTATCTAGAAAAAAAAAACAGTAGATTCGGTGAGTTACAGATCATTCAGCTAGAACTACTGAGATTTGGACAATCCCAACACTGGCTCTGCAGCACAGACTGCATGTCTTTGTTTGCTTGCTACTGTTCAATAATGAGGAGAATGGAAAATATTTTATAAAGTCATGAATCGCCACACCTTTCGCCGTGTTTTTGCTCAATCGAGTCTGGGGGACCCCTGCACTTCCCTTGGGAGCCCCTGCGCTCGGTTTCCCAGACCTATGAGAAAATTCTCCTTCTCTCAACTGCAGGATCAGCAACTTCGGCTGCTTTTCCCACGGGTTAGAGAAAGAGGAGACAAACACCAGGGTCTGCCACACTGTACTGGCCAGGTCTCTCCCACCCGCCCCGGACTCTCAGCCGGCTCGCCAGCCCCAGCTGTCACTGGCGGCTCTGCAGGGCGATGCCCGGACACCCCGGCTTAGACACGCTTAACTGTGGGGTCCCCGGCTCCTCACAGCGCTCCCGGGGCCGCAGGGCGAGGCGCGCGGGGGCAGGGCTCAGAGGGGCCGGCAGGGAAAGGCTGGTGCTCGGCGGTGCCCGGCTCCCCTCACCTCGCAGGGCAGCAGCGCGGTGCCCGGCTCCTCCCGGCGGCCGATCCTGCAGAAGACGCATTTGCCGTCGTAGCCGCCGCCGCCGCCACTGCCAGGGCTCGGGTCCGCGGGGGGCTGCGCAGCCTCGGGGGCGGCGGCTCCGTCCTCCCCGGCCATCGCTCAGCGCTGTTACCGCCTCCCGCCGCCCGCGATCAGCACCAGCCACCCGCTTCCCGGAGCCCGGCGCAGCCGCCGTGTCGTCCACTACAGCGCCCCCTGCCGGCCTCAGGGAGCCTCCCCGGAAATACACAGCAGGGCGCCGGGACACGTGACTCTGAACGTGCTCGTGAACAGGCGGGGCAGGCGGCGCGCGGTGCTAACGGCACTGAGGACTCGAGGCGTCTTCCTCGCTCTGTGCGGGGCGGGGCTGTGGGCTCGGCCAGTGGCCATGGCCGTTCTGCTCCAGCCTCGGGCCAGGGGCGCTGACTCCCATGCGTACCCCCGGCCTAGGACCGGGCTGGCGCGCGGAACCCTGGTAGGACCGCGTCCCCCAGCCAGGCTCAGCCCGGCCCGCGGGGCAGGTGTGGAGGCGAGACAATGGCAAGGAGATGGCTGGCGGCGCAGCGCTTGGCGGCGGGGCTGGGCGGAGAGGGTGTCGGCGCGCGCAGGTCCCAACGCCTGGGGCGGAGGCGGGCGGGCGCGCGCGCGCAGAGTGTGCAGGACCAGGGAGCGAGGCGCCGAGGGGGTTGCGCTGGGACGGAGGTGCCTCTAGTAAACCCCCGATGCTGTTGTTGGCTGTGGGGTGCCCTGGGCGAATGGTTTACACAGTGCGTTGTGTCAGCGCTGTTGCAGGGCACATTTCATACATGCTCAGCGTTTGGAAAAACCTGAGGAAGGCGGCGTTCAGGAGAGCTGGAAGACAGGAGCAAAGGCACAACTGGAAGCGGTCCTGATGCAAAGGAAAGGCAAAAGTAGCAGCAGGCCAGTAATGCTCTGAACACCAAACAATGAATCCTACCAAAACTGGGAATTTGGACAAATTGCTAAAGAGAACAAAAGACACGTTCAAGTACTCAGGGAAAACAGCAGAAAGGCTAAGGTACAAAACAAGTTACAGCCTGCAAGGGACATCATAAGAGGTTCATTATATACGCTAGGAATGAGAGAAAGATGAAGGAAAATGTAGGTCTGGTATTTGGTGGGGAAGAAGAGTTAATAATTGATGCCATCAAAAAGGCTGAAGTGTTTAAGGCCGATTTTGCTTCTGTCATTGCTGACAAAGGTTAATAGTGACCCCATACACAAGTGATTATTAATAAAAGGGAAGGAATGCAAGCCAAAATAAGGAAAGAACAGGCAAAATATTTAGATAACTTAGCTGTATTCAGATTAGTAGAGCCTTTGATGAAACTCATCTAAGGCTACATGAGGAACTAATGGAAGCAATCTCAGAAACATTAGCAATAATCTTTGAGGAGAGGTGAGGTCCTAGAGCAAGGGATCTCAACAAAATTTTGGTGGCCTCAGAGTGTGGTCACTAACTCCTGTTCCACACGTTACTCTGTTATACCAATAGAATAAAAACCAGCAGGATCTTATTAAGAGGGATAAGGCAAAGATGCCACATTTATTGTAAATATACTGATAAAGCAAAAGATAAAAAGAACAACATTGTTTGACTACTTATTTCTTATACACACACACACACACACACACACATATATATATATATATATATATATATAGAGAGAGAGAGAGAAAGATTAATTCACACAATCATTCATTCAAGTTCTGTATAGGTGTTATAGTTACCAGCCTAGAAGTTGCTCATGCCAAGTTACTGGCCAGATATCTTAGTCATGAGGATGGAGCCGAGTCTGTGTCAGGTGGACCTGATGCTCCTGGAGATTGGCAGCAGAACCAGAGACTCAAAGACATCAGTCTTTAGAGTCCATTCTTATAGGAATTAATTCCTATGTTAGTCTATGGGAATTGTTTCATCCTGCTGTTGCTGACTCAATCAGCAGATGGCACATTCCTGTCCAAAATGGCACATTCCTGGTGGCTCCACACTGTCCAAAGTTTGTTTCTCTCATCCTTCTAGGTGATGGGGTGGATCCCAGTTTAACCTCAGGGGGTTGTCTGGTGGTCCTACTTGACACATTCTTCAGCCGATGGATACTCCCTTTCTAGGCTGGCACCTCCCTAACCATTTATGTCCATCAAGCATTCATCAACATACATTTCATATCTTAACCATATTTTAATTTACTGTCTCCACCACTTTCGGGGTGTGTGCTAATTCATTTGAGACTCCCGGCCCTTTAATCACAGAGAGTGGGGGTCTGTCCTAGGAGCCCTTGAATGAAGTGAAAGTCACTTAACAGCATATAGTGTTTGTTTACATTGTATCAATTACTTCAAGAACAAAGTCAATTAACTTGTTTGTAAGTTTTACATAGTAATAAAGTATCTTTCACAGGATAGATATAATCAATGGTTTCTACAGACATAGCTTACAAGTTTTAACAGAAGACCCAAGAGATTTTTGCACTGTTGGATTTTAAAGTGCGGGGGACAAATTATGAGGGAATCACTGTTGGTACCTTCTTTTATATCCCTACAACTCCAGAACCCCAGTACTGTAACAGCAGGCTGACAGAAGTATGTTTTCATTCTTGAATCGTTGCACATTTTCAGCATGAGGAATTTGAGGCTACGTCCTCACTACGGGGGGGGAGGGTCGATTTAAGATACGCAAATTCAACTACGCAAATAGCATAGCTGAATTTGACGTATCAGAGCCGACTTACCCCGCTGTGAGGATGGCGGCAAATCAACCTCCGCAGCTCTCCCGTCGACAGCAATTACTCCTGCCTGCCCTGGTGGAGTACAAGCGCCAATTTGGGTATCGAATGTTGCATCCCGACGAGACGTGATAATTCGATCCCGAGAGATCGATTTCTACCCGCCGATTCAGGCAGGTAGTGTAGATGTAGCCTGAGATTCCTTAAATCCAAAGAGTCAAAGGAAGCTAATCTGTCTTGCAAGGCAGTTTGCAGCCCAAGAAGCTGACCCAGAATTGCTGAATGGGCCAGTCACAAAGGTGTACAGTAACTCCTCACTTAACGTTGAAGTTATGTTCCTGAAAAATGCGACTTTAAGCGAAACGATGTTAAGCGAATCCAATTTCCCCATAAGAATTAATGTAAATATTTCCCAGGGAATGCCTTGCTGCTAAATCAGTGGTTCTCAAACTTTTGTACTGGTGACCCCTTTCACATAGTAAGCTTCTGAGTGTGATCCCCCCCCCATACATTAAAAATACTTTTTAATATATTTAACACCATTATAAATGCTGGAGGCAAAGCAGGGTTTGGGGTGGAGGCTGACAGCTCGCGACCCACCATGTAATACCCTCATGACCCCCTGAGGGGTCCCAACCCCCCCGTTTGAGAATCCCTGTGCTAAATGATGAACTAGCACTCGGCTGAGCCCTCAAGGGTTAACACATTGTTGTTAATATAGCCTCACATTCTACAAGGCAGCAGGAATGAAGGGGAGGGGAGATAGCATAGCAGACAGAGACAGACACACACCTTGTTTGTGGGAGAGAGAGAAATGCACACTTTAAGTAAGCTGACCCACTCTTAAATGCATTGTCTTTTTAAGTGGATCAGGAAGTTGAGGTAGCAGCTGCTGCCCTAGGCTCTCTGTCTCTCTCAGTCCATGTCCCCACCCTGCTCTATATGGAGAAGAAGGGGTAAGCAGGGTGTAGGAGCAGAGGGGAGGGGGACACCCTGACAGCTCCCCCTTCTCCCACCTCCCGCACAGCAAGCAGGAGGCTCAGGGAGCAGCTCCAAGGCAGAAAGCAGGAGCAGCACATGGTAGTGGGGGGAGGGACAGCTGCAATTGCTAGTCTGCTGGCAGCTGCTGCACAGGGAACTAAGAGGAGTGGAGAGCTGATAGGGGGCTGCTGGTCCTCCCTGGTTCCAAGCCCTCACCAGCTAGCTGCAACAGGCTGCGTTTCCTGCAAGCAGTGGACAAAGCAGGCGGCTGCCAAACGACATTAGAAGGGAGCATTGCATAACTTTAAACAAGCATGTTCCCTAATTGATCAGCAATGTAACAATGAAACAACTTTAACCGGGATGACTTTAAGTGAGGAGTTACTGTACTGACGGAAAAAGTTTCCCTCACTGAAACAATTTTCAAGATCCTCCAAGAGGATACTCATGTACTTGGTTGCACCTAAGCTAACTTTTTTCTGCACATTCCAACCGACTAAGCTTATAAAAAACTGAAAAGTCCATTCCTCTTGTAGGTGCTGGACTGTCATTGATAATTATTTCAATACTAATATATTTAGAATGACAATCAAATATTGTTAGCTGAGGTTTCTGAAGCTTCAGGTTCAAGGAAGCAAGCTTGGTAAAAAACTCTTTCAAAAAGAGCAGGCAACCATGTACTTCTGGATCTTGTAGCTTTCGGGACAGTTCCGGTGAAATTTTATTCAAAACCTCAACGCGCTCTTCCCAGAGCTCAAAGAGCCTCTTCACGCGGTCATTAAAACTAAGCCAGTGGACTGGGTTGTAATTCAGCAGCACCTTGCGTGTCTCAGCCCATTTCACACAGAGTTGCAAAGCTTTATTGACACTGCTGGTGTTGACAGCATTGATGCATTTTTTCACTATGGATTCAACCTCATCCATACTTTCCATTGAAGCTTTGCTAGTAAATACTTCTTGGTGGGCAAAACAGAGAAACAAAAAAAGTTTCTCAGTGCACCTTTCTTGGAAGCAGTTCAATACTCTACTCATGCACTTTGCATAGCTGCTGCCCCATTAGCTGTTAAACTGCAGAGATTGTCAAAGTTAACACGGCACTCCTACATTCTCACCTGAATACATTCAAAAATGTATTTGCCAGTAGGCCTATCCCTGAGGCACCTGACATAAAACACCTTCAGAAAAACAATGGTGTAACCCTTCTGCCCATCTAAGTTGGCAGCAACAAGGGCCGGGTTCTGTATCTAGGGGTTCCGTTTCAATAACGCAATGCAAAACCGGCTCGAGCCCCCACCCAGTGACCTGGGACAATTATATACCACCCCCTGGGCGCCTCTAGGAGGCAATACTTCCCCTCTCGCAAGCACGGAGTCGGAGTGTAACAGAAAAT